AGTAATTGCCGCGTTGGCTCTACGCTTCGTCTCCTCTTCGCGCTCGCTCAAGGGAGCTTCCCTGTCCTATTGTGAAGCTTGTCTCTCTTTGCTCCGAAAACTCCAGCTATGGTAAGCATATTTGCGGCCATAACTTGGGTGTATTTTCATAATCTGTATTCATGCGCATCTTCATCACCGATTTTACGTCACGATACGGATCGTTACCACCTCGGCGCCGATGGGCGAGCGAGCGACCCTTCTTCAGTCGTTGCCGCGTCAACGCGACACTGTCGTATCCGGCTCGACCTCCGCGATGCAGTGGCCAGGGAGGCGAGCGCTGACGTGTTACGTGAATAAAACGATCTCAGTGACTTAGCCTCCGGAAGAAGAGTTGATGTTTATAGTTATATTTGTAATATTATATCCAAGGTTAATTTGTTAAGGAAAGTATTATTTTCAAATGGCTATTAGTACAAATGAAAATTAAAGGAATAACATGCAAAGATATGTAAATGCCCAAATTGGAAGATAACACACACATACACGCACGCACAACAGGGCTGAAAAGGGCTCTGCGCCCAAGCCTCAAGCCACAGCGAGCGCAGGGCGAGCGGCGGTGCTGGATCGGGACGCGAGAAACTGCAAAGGCAATATTTAGTGAGATAATTTGTGTGACGGTTCGGGCGGCGTCCCATTACGGCGTCGGGATTGCGCTGCTGGAGGAATTAATGGTCTTCGTCGTCGCGATGACTTTGTCTTCGTTGTCGGGATTATATAGTTTTTTTTTGTCGGGACTTCGGTGTCGGGATTATAGTGTTTCTTGTCGGGATTAGATTGTCTTTGTTGTCGGGATTAGATTGTCTTTGTTGTCGGGATTAGATTGTCTTTGTTGTCGGGATTAGATTGTCTTTGTTGTCGGGATTTAACTGTCTTCTTTGTCTTCGCGCGAGTTTTCTTAATGCATATCTTGCCATCCTCTGGACTCCTCTTTCGGTATTTTTAAGTCGGACTTTGTTCTTGCCGACAGCATAATGATGATGGCAATGGCTATGGACAGTCATAATCCCTGTTGTCAGCCTATTTAAATGCAAGGTCATTACTATTTCTGGACATTATTGTAGATGTTATCACTGATTTTAATAGTTATAAACATGATCGTTGTTGCTATTTCGTGCCAGTTTATGACGCGGTTTGTTTGTGATTTCCATTTCCATTTTCCTTCTTTTCTCTTTCGCGAGCTGAACGTTCTTGCTTCGCGTTTCTTCTCCAGACGCCAAGGAAAAGGCTCGTTCCTATTTTTAGGAATGATTTTGGGCTGACACGGGCTCGCCAGAACTGTTTTTTCCTCATTTTTCTTTTTCTTTATCTTCTTTACCATCTTTATCTATCAACCTTCATAGATAGATAGATATAGATATATGTATATATCTATATATCTATATATATTTTAATATACATACATACATACGTACATACATACACACACACACACATATATATATATATATATATATATATATATATATATATATATATATAATATATATAATATATATAATATATTACATATATATATGTACTACCAACATTTATGTTAAAAATAATTTTATATATACTATACACATTAAACATTATATTTGCATAAATAATATATATTATATATTATAATATATAATATATATATATATATGTATTGAATTATGTGTTTTATATAATATCAATACACTAAAATATATACATATAATGGATATAGTATACTATATTGTATTTATTGCATATGTTATTCTAGATATATTGTATGTATGTACTGTATGGATCTCGCTGCAGGTGACTTAGTTATATTATATGTATGATTTGATGGAAACCTCGGGCGCGATGGAGCGACACGGGAGGCCGAAGAAGTGATGAAGTTCGTAGCAATCGTTTAGGATAGTGACAATACATGATAGTATCGTTGTTGTCGATGCAGGGGGTAGGACAGTGTGGTACGGCTTTGGGGTGAACTGCGGCCGTGCTCGAGATGGATGTCCATATTTATTTGTAAATGGCTCGCTATCATTATCTTATATATAGATTTATACTATATTGTACAATGCAATCCTCATCATATTTAGTTATAATTCGAACGCTTCTAGTAAGCTGTGAGCGGCTTCGCTGGGGACACTGTCGCCCAAGCCGAAACGGATATGAGTTAGTATTTATTTTGGTTTACCGATTTAAAATATCTGTGGTATTGTAGATAGATAGTCTACAGTCTATGATGTATGTCTTACCTATGCTATCTAGTAGTTGCGAGGCTGCACTCAGGGGTCTTGGATCTGCTCAACGCGGAGGCACGCCAAAAAAGACCGTAGTGGTGCGCTTGATAATCAACTTCGGGTAGCCCATATAACCTCACCAGTCTTTAAGGCTCGGTGGTTGTGCGGATCAATTCGCAAATTCTTTTGTGCTAGAGGTGTAGTGCCAGACTTTTCGGTCTCCCGAAATTTTTTCACTCTTCTAATATTAGCTAATTCAGTAAACTAAGAGATGAGAAAACCTAAATCGCCATATCAATCTGTATAATCTGAGGAATACATTAAATCAGGGTAGAGATTAGCAAGCATAGTCTCAACTAATCTCGAATTTACTGATATCGTCAAGGATTATTCTTAGATACCTCATTCTTGGCTATTATTAGGACCGGATGCAATAACATATTTAATAAACATAATAGATAGTATACTAATTTGAGACGAAATGTAGACTCTCACACACGTTCATACCGATCGCCTACTTCCCATAGGATTTTTACCCGGAACATGAGCCGCAAGCCATATTCCCATTCTCTTATCATAGATTTACATTATTCCTCTTACTACACTTCCCTCTAATACGTAACTCGTTCTTTCAATCTAGAATTCACTAGATACCACCACGGAACTGTGATACCGCGACTACTAGCTCCGTACTGTGATCCTGTTCCACCAGAGAACTACGCATGAGTACACCTATGTCCCCTTAGTCAACAAGCATTGTTACGAGGCCAGAAGTCAATCATTGGCGAGTTGTTGCCCATCTAATCTGGTCTGCCTCTAACGGTGAGTAAGGACCCACAGACTCGTCTCCATATCACACACTGTCAAAGAGCATCTTAGACATATACTTTAATCACAATTAAAATCTATTATACTAGAGCCGCGTAAAAAAGGCCCTGAGACTGTGACTTTAAACTTCAACCGACACTCAGGCTTAGCCTGTAGCTACAGGAGTCTATAGAGATAGTGACGCCTCGTCTTGAATCACGACGAAATCGTTTGAACATAACAACTCTAGCTATATCCCTCAAATTAAATTATTGATAAACAAACACAATACCGATTTGATAAAATTGATCTAATCTTTATTACTGTTACTATAATAGCTCATACATAATATACAATTAAGACTAATAGTGCATCAAATATTAAGATACTAACCAATATAAGCGTTATCGCGGATTTACACTACCTCACTTACATATATATTACAGTATTAATTGAGCACATGTATCGTTATTACACTAGATTTATAATACAGCACACACAATCTACACACACGACACCACACACACCAGCACACCACACCACAGCTACATATTATATCACACACTAATAATACACTCCCTTACCCAACTACACACCAAGCTATTACGTATACATACACACACACACAGTCACCAACACAGCATACTCCTACCAATGTAATATTATACTCTAGTACAAAACGTAATCACACTAACTAATATAATATGACAAGTGGATGGACCCATCCCACAGTGCCTTACGGCACGGTTTTTATTTGCCCCTATGAATATACTAAAAGCCTCTCTGATCGGGGAACGATCTCGCGCTGCAGATCGTGAAGCGGACTGCTCTATCCATTTTTACTCCACCACTCCACAGAAGAGGAATCGCTGCGCAACCAGGTTGACAATCTAGCGCCATGCGCTTTTACCCATCTACTCAATAACGCTGAGTAAGAATCTAAGCAGATTTTACCACAGATCCCCGCTGTGGAGCGAATTCGGGAACTTATGGAGAGCAGATCAAACCGCCAAAATCAGGAACTAACTGAGACGGATATCAAGTAAATGATGAAGATGGAAAACAATGACGAATACCGACGATTGATTTATCTAGAATAAATATAACACATCTCTTGATCGGAGACTCGACTCCCCGCGCCGCCAGTCGTAAGCGAAAAGCTGACTCTATCATGTACTCCACCACTCAACCCAATAGGATTGTTGCAACCAGGTGCGCAACATGGCTAAGCGCCATTGATTACACTAACTCATTCATACACGTGAGCGTATAGAACGTACTAGCAGATTTTACGCAACAGACTCCCGCGTGACGCATTCGGCCATTATGGAGACGCAGAACTCAACCCAATCACGAATAACCTGTTGAGGGCTTGGAAATAATGGATAGAGCCGTTGGCTTCCGATTGGACGGCGGCCCCTCACCCCATCGAGGATCGATCACACCTCAGCAGACCGGTGTCCGTACTATATACTATAGTGTTAGATGTATCTAGTAGGGTAGGGCCGTATACGCCTTAATTAATTACCCTAGCGTCCCTAGCTGATAGCAAGTACTTATTCCCGCTCCACGTTATGGGGCCATGAGGTAGTAGTATAGTAAGTATATATATAGGTATATGTGATATGGTCGGGAATTCTAACGGTGTAATAGTATAACATTATAGAATTATAGATTACACACGCTGATTATAAATAATGTCAGTGAATATTATAAGTATATTACGTAAAGTATTATGAATTATGATAAAGTATTGTTAATAGTGATAATCTATATATATATAGCCCGATATATTATATATAATTATATATATATATATGTATTATATTATATATATGTATATGTTTATCTATACTATACTATATTTATGAATACTAATATATTGTATAATCTATCAATTATATATATATGTCTACTATACTTATTACTATATATATATTATGCTAACTATGTATGTTTATATATGTATCTATCCTATATAGTTATACTACCCTACCTATATAATATATAATATACTATATATATGTTTTATAATAATATATATACATTTTTATATAAGCTATATAATGTAATATAGTATATTTTTACTAATATATATAACTCAATATATATACCATAAAAAATAACTAATATATATTATAATGTTGACTCTACTAATATAAATTAATTATATAATCCTATATAATAATATTACAATTATATGTGTGTAGACTATACTACTAGTATATGTATACATATAATATATTACTTATCCTATAATATAATTCATAATATATTAAACCTTATATAGTTAATATATACCTTTATATATAATATATCAAATATGTATATGACTACCACTACTCATAATATGACTCTTCTCACTATACTGTATCAACCCCCACTATATATCACCATGATACACTACCATTATACAATTATAATGATAATACTTATATATGCAATGCTATAATACACACTATGAATGTCAATATATACTAACATATGATATATCATACCACTACTAATATATACGAATATGAACCTATATTATATAACTAACTACTATACTATCATACTAAATATTATGTGATGATTATTATGATAATAATCATAAATATTGATATATATTGTAATATATATATATATATTATACTAATATATATTATATATTTAATTGATAATATATATCAATATATTATATATATACTAATTATATATATGTATATGTATAATATATTATGTATATAAATATAACAATAAAATATAATATAATATATATTATATACTAATATATATAATATATATATAATATATATTATTAGTATATGTTATGTATATATATGTATTATAATATACTATAAATTTATAATAGCTAATATATTAATTAAATATATATATATAACTTTTATTAAATGTATATGTACTATAATTTGCATATTGCATATTTACTATATTATATATATTATATGTATATTATATGTATATTATATTTGTATAAGTAGTAATACTTATGTTATAACTGTATTATATAATATTATAATGTATATAGATATATATACATATAGTGATATAATATATGTCAATCATATATACTGTATATATAATGCTCTTACTGATATATCGCCTACCTAACTACTATGCGTCCAGTACACCTATTGCTATTATTATTGACATATAGTATATATTATGTATATTATGTATATGGTATACATAATATATAATATATTTATATATTTTTGTGTGTGTGTTTGTCTGGTGTGTGTGTGTGTGTGTGCTGTGTTGTGTGCTCGTGTGTGATGTAGTGTTGTATGTTGTTGTGTGTTTATATATGTATTTAATGTATTATAAAGGATAATCAATACTATATATGAATATTATCATACTTACGAGATATATAACTCAGATATGCCTATAGTAATTGGTAAATAGCTTAGGTAATAACCGTATGATATAATAAACTTAAAGATATAATTGTATAATAGAGAATATATATATACATACATATGTGATATATGGATATATATATTATAACCGGATATATATGAATGCTATCTCTAACTACGTATATAAAGAGACTAAATAAACTTAATATAAGAAGTATATAAGTCGATACTATTGTTTACGGATAGAATGTACTATAATATATATGAATTTAGATAATCATATGAATATAAACTTAATATCACTTACCATGCCCTCTAAAGTACTGCAATAGTGTATTAATTTATATGATATGAATATGGTATATGGTAGTATTATTATATTCATAACTAGAAGATACGTGGCCTGATTATATATGTATGTCATTGTTTATTATATATGATAATGTGTATGAGGATAATATGTGATGATGTATCAATATATGTAGTATGGAGTATGATAGATGTATGTATTAGATGGATACTTATTGTATATGTATATATTATATTATAGTATATATATGTATATATATATTGTGTTATGTGACTTGATGGGTACTATGTAGTTGTGAGTTTGATTGGGTATTATTAGTAATATATATACAGGCTGCTATATAATACTAATTTTATATGCGGTATTATGATATGATAGTAGTAGTATGTAGCTTATAATTATATTCTAGATTAAGATAATATGGATATACGCTCTGCTGCCCTAATATTGTGTATTTATACCTAATATTTATGTACTTATATATACGTTCCTCTTTTTATATATAATGACTATTATATATGTGTTGTACCCTATATATATATGTTCGCTATATTATTATTATATATACTACGTCTCAAGATCCTGCGAGACGTATATAGACAATATCTATATAACTGTATGCTATATATGCACGTTATATCTAGCTCGATATGATATTGTAGTATATTGATTGTTGTGTGTCTACCTACTATATACTTATATATGTGTTGGTGTCGCTGTGTGTTCGGTGCTGTGTGTAAGCATAGGAGCCTAAAGCCCCGAGGTATAATGGGCCAGCAAGGGACGAAGGACCGCCGGCAGCGTGCACCTACGGAACCACACACACGAATAGTGTGTGTGGGCGTGTGCTTAGTGGTGTGATGTCAGCGCGAGTGTATAGTTTTACTCTTTCTCTTTACGCTCTGCACCCCGTTGAACACCCCCCCCACCCGACCCGGCCCTGCTGTCGTCGCCCCGCCGCCACCGCATCACAACGCAGAGTGTGGTGCTCGTGTTGTGCCGCGTGACTACCGAACAACCCATACCGGTGGTTGGTGAGAGGATAATATATGTGTATAAATCGCTCTACTACTATGAACCACCCCACTACTCATAATTCCTATAATATTAAAGGTATATATATGTATTTCTATGTCAGACCTATACTATATTGTATCTATAATACGTATACCTATAATATAATAGTACCTCCTTATATACCATATACTGATATGATAGATAGAACCTATAGAATTAGCGCAACCTAGATCATGCTAGATATGATCATGGAACACTACGGATATCCGAATTTATACGATCTAGAGACATATGAATTGATTGTGCATAGTAGTATGTGACTATATCAGACATACGATTTAGATTTCACATAGATAAGAACTCATTGATTAGAATAGATGCGAAGTAAAGTATACGAGATAAGGAGCATCAGTACTAGTGAACTACTATTGTATGGAAATCTCAGTGAATGACCTCGATGATCCGTAACGGGTGAAGGTACGTTATCATTCCGGTTTCTTTTCATCGTTTGGCTCATGCGTCTAGTCAATGTGTCTATCTAGTTTCATGTATGCTAGTCGACTTTATGGTACGCTCACTATCGACGCTTTTTCTAGTCGTATAGTGCCTCAAAGTAAGTGTTCAAGGACATGAGCGGGAAGGTAGTGACAGTATTAGTCGTCGCGGTATAGTTTTTTAGCAGATATAATTAGTCAGCGGTCTGGTTATATTAACGTGTACTAGTGGGCTAATTGCTGGTGTGTGCTCTATTGTGGTCTTTGTGTGTGGTGTGAGTGGGTTTGTGACAATCGTAATATTGTCTTGTAACGAATAGGTGTGCACATTTCGCATGGATTATTCATTTCATTAGGGACCTCATACTAAGTACTCTTAGAAAACACAGTGTAGCGTAAACGTCAAAGAAATTATAAAAAAGTGTGAGGTGTAAGCATAAAGGTTTCACAAAAAAGGAGTAAAAGTGAAGAAGCTCGCTTTGTAGAAAATGTGAGGTGAGACAGCTGCTACACAGCTAGTCCAATGGTAGCATTTTAGCTGATCTCTTAATTCAATATTGTTCACGCAGGAGAAAGAGTGTATCTCTCTAAAGAATCTATACTAATTTTATTATAGATACTAGACCCAGGTGTTGGGATGAGTGGACCAGTTCGTGTTGTAGCTGAAATGGACGCGGCGAGAGGGCGAGGTGAGAGGAAGAAGGCCGTGAGCGGAGGGCTGCTCTAAGTCTTAACCGCAGCACACTCATTTGCTGGTGTAGTCTGCAGATGATCTAGCTCAAGCCTGGGCTTACGACACCTCGAGATTGATAGCATATAATATATCTCGCAAGTTGTTTGATTCTGTGATGGTCCTTCGCAAATTAAAAGTTTATTTCGGTCAGATGTTGGTTACTCTTCGTAAGTTCGCTCAATTGTCTGGAATATTCGCGATGATGTGCCATTATATCATGACTTAGACCCTTAAGAATATCAAGGGGCGATTCAGGAATTTTCTCTTTAGGGTATCTTTTTGGCACTTTCGTGAAAAGATATGCCTCTCTCGGGATACAGTACTAATAGTATAAATTGGTCAGATCCACTGTTTCCTCTGTTTAAGGAGCTTTCATTGAGAGCTCGTTCCACTGGGATGTGTCCACTCCGCTAGTAAGTCGAAGCCAAAAAGCTGTATGTGGCGTCACGCAGGAAAAGCCGCCCTTTTAAATATTGACTATAATAGCCGACCTGGTCCAACCACAAGCTCATTTAGACTGACGAGTTGCTCACACCCTGCGCCGTGTCTATTCTATTCTGTAAGCGGCGGGGCGAAAATCCGCAATGCGCGACCCCGGGGGGCGGTCCAGATGATTGCAGATTTTGTTTTTTTTAAGATGGGCGCTGTTCTTGTCGTGTACTCTCTCGGTAAGGGGGCGGCTTGCTGGCCTTAGCGATTGACACCACCATACTCCCCTAAAAGCGTATTACGAGTGCAACTGCGAGTGGTCATCTCCGGGGAAGCGCATACTGAAAGCCTCGCTTTATTTTTAACTGCTTTTGCGAGCTACGTTGATAACTGCGCGTTTACGTCGCCTGGAAAAATAAATGTTTTATTGAGTAATTTCATAATCTAATGATGCTGCGCTTCTTGTCCCCACTCTGAAATCCTGCAATGATAAAGCTAATCAGGTGCGATTTTTTGCAGATCCCGACGCCCGCAATGAGGTGGTTGCTGTTGCTTGTCCTCTCCTGCGCTCTCCTCTCCCCGCCCGCCGCCGCACGACCACCACA